TTTAACTTCTAGAAACAAATCTAAGTTGAAAAAGTTTACTATCACGAACTCCAAAAGAATCTTAAATGTTATTTTTACGTGTTTCAAAAAAATTCAATATTTCCTGCTTTCTATGGCAAGTAATTCATATAACAGAAGCTCCCTAAAATATATCTCCATATCATTTACTCCAACTCGAAGACAAGAGAAATGTGTAAGAAATTTTTTTAAGCCACCATATGAATGGAAATAGTAATGTTTGCCAAAGTACGATTTGATAGATATAGTGATAGAGTGTGCAAACACACGACTTAACTGGGAATTGGTAAGTTTTATTGATAGAATTAGGATTTGAGACTAAGAGTTGCAATGCGGATTCACTCTGAGCACAGAGAAAAGAGGTTTAACAAGTATTACATCTTGATGAGAGTCATAATCGACTGGATTTAGGATGGCATCAATTAAAATTTCATCTAATTATTTAACAGAAAATCTAATCTTCAATTTTACCGTAAAATATCAATTTCTAAAGTAATTAACCCTAGAAGAATAACCTTAAAAAATTATAGTTATAATAAACTGATAATATTATTTTTTTTCAGTAGAAAAATTAATCACTAAAAATATATTTATTCTTTTAGTTTTATAACAGATTATAGACTAAAGATCAAAGTAATAGATAAAGATCATTTGAAAAGTGAGCAAATTTTTAAAATAAAAAAAAAATAACAACAGGTAAAAGTAGCAAATACCGACCACCTAAGTTTCCTGAAAATAAATTTAATTAAACTAAGACAATGGTAGAACAAAATAAAAATTGGCCAATGCTTTTAAAATCCAAAAAGGTCTTTGAATCATGATTTATCATTTTATATGACATATATCTATTTATAACATTGAAAGATTAATTTTTAAAAAAAACCAAAACGTTCACTTGACTACGACTCTATTAACGACCACCAAACTTTCGAATTAGTCTTTAGAGTAAAGTTTAATGAATAAAAAAAATGAAACTTTTTCTTCATTTTTTAGGTTTAGTTATCTATTTATTTTCATGTTAACCTTATCGATATTTTTTCTAGGGTGAATTGAATAAAACATTTATTTAAAATATCATTTAATAACTTTTTCCGACCATCGACATTAATTTTTCAATAAAAATTAAAAGTTAAAGTTTATCTATCAGTTTTATTAACTAGAAGCATTATAGACCAAAATAATTAGTTGGAAAATAAAATGGATTAATATCCTAAAAAGCACAAACATCCGGCCGATGAGCTTTTCACAATGACATTTTGTGTAACCAAACAAAATAAAAAAATAGCAGATAAATAGTACGAGATAAGCAAAGTCTTAGCAAAGTTTTATAAATGATGTTCTGGAGTAGGAATAGATAAGAGAGAATTTTTTAGAGCGTTTAGAAAGCAGTCAAGTTGAGAAATCCCATAAAAATAATAATGACTTTATGAAGAAAAGAAAATACAAAGTGCGTCCACTATGACCTGTCGGGTTTTTGTATTTTTACGAGTAATTTTCCGCCAGTTTATTCTAGAAAATGTTTATTCATATCGCTTGAATGTACTGCAGCACACTATAGTCCTACTATACATGCCCAACAGGCTGATTTTTTTTTATCTCTTTTAAGCGTTAATCTGACGATAACACTAGAAAAGGGTTTTCCTTGTAATATTGACAGAAAAACAATACTTTCATTCTAAAAATTTTCTATTTATTTAAAATTTCACTAAAATATTCCACGAAGAAGAAATTTTTTTTTTAAACTTTTACGGTGTAGTTTTTTTAAATATCAGTACGTATATGTAATTTGTATAAAAGCCTCCTATTTTTTTTATTAAATGATAAAAGTAGCTATATATCATATTACTGACCTACTCTAATTATAAAAACTGCTTAAATTTTTAAAAGTACAAAAAAATTAAAAAACAACACAACAAAACAGTCTAAAAGTAGATGAATTTTTAACTCACTGTTCTTTTACTGTTTTAGTTCAACATTTCACGTCAATCCTTCTGAGTTTCACAACTTACTGATTTATTAATTTAAGTATTTGATAACTAAATTATTTTCCCTATTTTATTAACCAATTCGAGAACCTTTTTGTGACGTAACGTTCAATTATTTATAAGTCACGAATCCGAGAAAAAATAACTACACAACACAATATTGAAAGATGTATCTCATCAAAGAACTGGATCACTTTTTAATTTGTTTATGTTTGAAAAATTATCTGAATGAAATAATTTTCGTGCAAACACTCATGATAATAGATAAATAAAAACCTACATATATATAAGTTACAATAAATATCGTGCAAACATATGTGAACTCACCGTTAAAAATTCTTCGATTTTCTTTACAAGTCTAGAAACACGATGAAGAACTTTCGCAGAAGTTGATGTTTGCACCCCCGTATAAGTGCAACTTGTCGGAAGAGTGCGCGCGACCTCGTGCACACCTCAATTGGGAGTGTCGTCCCTGCGCGTTGGACACGGACAAACATCAGACCAGAAACTGCGATACTACGACCGACGAGCGCACCCCAGATACCCTACTACGTAATTGAACGCATGCGCTTCATTTAAGCGCCGAAATTAGTCTTCCCATTGTGGATCACTTCATTAATAATTTTCGAAATATTTATTCTTATACATTTAATCAAAAGTTGCTTTTTTCCCTTAATTTTATAAATTTTCTTCAGCAAGGAAAAAAATGTCTAGAAATGATTTTTATTTCTGTTAGTAGCAAGTTATAAATTGGTAATAAAAGAATAAAAAATAATTGACATGGAATTTAACGAATGAATTGAATCACCGAAATTTTTAATTAAATTCATAAATATATATTAAGATAAAAAAAAAATAGAATGAAATAAGAGGGCGCATGCGCTAGGGTCAAGCTATGGAATGGTGGCGGCAGCCAAGGGGTGCACGGGGGTGTGAGTCAGTCAGGCCGCAGCGCGCGCTCAGAAAACTACCCGTATGGGAGTCTACGATAACGCTAGTCGCTTGTTTTTTTCTTCCTTATACGATTCTCGTTTATTAATATGATTTTTGATTGTACGATTTTTGACATCAACCAATTATGAAAAGACAATTAGTGTGTGAAATTATTGTTACGCATTTGGTGGATTTAATTAGTTTTCTTCAATTGTTTGGATCATTTGTGACATCTGACTGATTTTAAAATAGTGACTAGCGATCTTTAAAAACGTGTAGTGACGAAATAATTTATTTAAACTCAAGTTTAGTTTTAAAAAGTTACATTTTACGTGGAATATAAAACAAAAAAAATGATTTTCGAAAATAAGTCAATAGTGAGACAGTTGTAATTCACAAGTACAGGAAATGTTATTTAGTAAATTTATTGAAAAGCTTACAGTAAAGTAAACATTTTTATTTTTATTCTGTAAAAAATGAGGATCCAGAAAATTTCACGCTTGCATGGTAATCCTACGGATTGACGTGAAAAGCCATCTGTATCTATCGTGAGTGGCCATTGTAAAAAGTTTGCGTTAGCGAGAAAAGCTCGTGACCTCGTAAACCTGTCGATACATTCTTTCTTGAAACTCGTGAGTGAAAGAGGCTTTCGATAAAAAGCCTGCTTGGTCCGTGCGGACCCACAATTTTCTGACTTTGTGGAGGTCGAAAGACCAAGTCGATGGGTTAAAGCTCTGAACACTCTGACGTTAGAAGGTGCAGACCATTAACAGCGTGCACAGACAGCTAACCATCGACGAACAAAAAAAAATATCAACTAAAGAACTGAAGCAAACGTGTTACAAAAAAATAAAACTTGAAAAAGTTTGAAAAAATAAAAAAACACTTGCGAATTTTTTTCTGACCAGTGGAAAATGAAAATTTGTATCATTCGTTATAGCAATCATACAAGAGTTTTACACTATTTCTCCTACCGTCTTAAGCGTATGTGATGTAACTAGGTAGTCACAATTTATATATATAGTTGCGGATTTAACCGAAGAAGTAAGAAAAAAGACTGGTACGCTATTGAAATTTTTAAGTGTTGGAACGAATTTGTAAAAGTTCACAGAAATATGGGATGGTCGTGGAATCACAGGAAGAAAGCTGAGTCGTGATAGCATCAATGCGAATGAGGTGACGCTTGTCAGTGGGAATGCGGGTCCGTTAAAAAGGAACGAATGAATCTTACGATAACAAATATTTAACAAAAAACAAAAAGTATTGTTATTAAAATACAAAGAATAAATTTAAAAAAAAGACTGCAACAGACTATTTATCTACAAAAAAAAACAAATTGCCAGTGACAATATTTATTAAGTTATTAACTATCATCACCATATCAACGACATCAATTCAAATTCATATCTTCGTTAACAAAAAATTCTTTATCTCAAACAAAGAATAAATGTGCAGTGTAATTAAAGTTTCATAGTATATATGGTAGATTTGTAAATAACTGAAAAAAATTCATTAAACTATTTGAGTAGTTATAATATTTGTTGTGTTGATGAAAACAAAAACAAATAGAGCAATTGATGATCGTATTTCTACAGAGTTTCCTAATTTTCAGTATTCAGCCATAAAACCTTTGTTTTAGTAAATAATTATCATTTCAGCGATGCACGTGATTTGTAGTTGAGTAATTGAGCGTATTCGAACATTCCTTGCATTCGCTACCAGTGATTTTCTCTATAGAAATGTTTTTTTGTAAATAATACTGAAAGCTATATGTATATATATATATATATACATATTATGAATAATCAACTTATTTTTGTATTTATTCAATAAACTGTGAAAACATTGAACTAGAGTAATTGAGACTTTAGTGATTAATTTGATATTTATCAAATTCAACATCAGTTTCTTTTCATCTCTACTTTTCCTTTATATTCTTCTGCAACGAAAAAAACGGATCATAATATTGAGTGGCTCATCGTTTTATTGAAGAAAATCCCGATTTTAATAATAATTGAGTGGTGGCATGCTTCTGATAAAGGTGAATTTGCTTATTTCTTAGGTGCTGAAATACCACGAGGGAAAGGTGGTAATTTGTGCAGTGAAGCAATCGAGGCGGGAAAGAGAAGGTGGTCAATATGACTCCTATCTTCCTCGTCTTATTGGTGGCGATCGACACGATTATCGCGCAGAATCATGGTGGTGAGTAAAAATAAAAAGTTTTAGTGTTAAAAGAATCTACAGACTATGGAAGAAATCAACCCATCTTTTGAGGACGTGTCAACGAAACATGGGTGTTGTGATAACATTCTAAACTGCCGGACACTTGAGCACTAATTAAAGAAATGACTGTTTTTCAAGTGATGGCATAAAGACAATATTTAGAAAAAAAAGCTCATTTAAAAATTTTCATTATTTTTTTTGTTAAGTTTTTAAATTTAATTTTTTTTCGGTTTTATTGGTGGGAATTTTTTTTATTGCGGAGTAAGAAAAGTATTTGAAATTGGAGCGGCAGACTATTGATAGCTGAAGAGTATTTGTTTTAATTTATTAAGTTGGCAGTCAATTAAATTAACACACGAATGTGTTCGCGTTTGTGATGGACTTTAGGACATGTAAAGCAGACGGACCAGTCTATCACTGTCATTCTTCTGACGATTTTATATTTTTATAGCGAATACTGTGATTTTTTTTTCTTTTAATTATTATCCATTTGTCACAGTTCGATTAAACCTGTTATCTTTTCTATCACAAGCAAGCATTATTTATTGTTATTGTAACAATGCAATCTTAAATTTGAAACTTCTCGATATTTCTATGTACTCACTGATTTAATTGATCCCATTGAAAAGTACTGCTGTAATTCCTGATGAATTTTCTAGTAAAATAGAAATGTAAATTATTGGGATGAAATGAGACTCAGAAAAGTTAATAGACTTTTTAAAGAAAAAAAAACAAGTACTTTATTTTTTTTTTATTATCAACATTACTGCAAAGCAGACATACATTAGTGTTACAATATCTTTTATGAGGATAATTAAATGAATTTTAATATTTTTAATTTAACTAATTAAATTTTTTCCTTTTATTACCATCACCGTTATTAAAATTATAATAGTAACTACAAACGAAACGAAACTTTTCTGTAATAAAAATATTTTCTGGTTAATCAATGCAATTAATAAATATTTCATCACAACTTATTTTCTATAAATGAAATTCATTGATTAGAATAAAATTGTTTTTTACAATACATTTGAAAAAATGAATCTTTATAATTTTCAAAAGACCATGAGACTTCAGTATTTTAAATTCAAAAAAATTTTTTAATTATGGATAATGACAGTAAGAGAAAAATAATTATTATTTACAATTGAGGATCCAACTCTGAGCTACTTCGAAATTTTTTCTTATTTAGGATAAGAATTTTACGTTCAAACATAACTTAGATAGATACTATAAAAAAGTTTGCAACATGCGGAAGAATGTTGATAGCAGTTTAAAGCTAGACCCCTAATTTTAAATGATTCTATAAATGAATCATTTTTACCGTTAGTATAGAAAAGACACAAAACCAAACATCTTTATATTATTATCATTATGTAATGGCTGCAATCAAAGGTATATAACTCATCGTCTGAAGGCTTTTAGGCATACATCTTCATATTTGTCATCTCGAACAGCTCGAGAATGTTTTAAAATCATTTAAAAATCGAGCTAAATGATATTCCATTTGTGAATTTACGTCCTAAATCTATTAAATGGTGAAAATATATTGATGCTTTGTCAGCTTTTGTTGGTACTCTGTGACTAAAATTAACGAATAATTAAATTAAATTTCCTATAATAAGTGTAAATCTACCAGAGAATATACTTACTATCAAATAACAATTAGTGGTATAAAATGAAATCTATTAATTTTGATAAATAACGCGGTGAATAATTAATAGGATGATTTGAAACGCATGGATCGAGATGATTTGTTCACGCAAATATGGTTTTATTAAATCGAAATTCGGGTTTATTGGCCTGTGATGGTACCGATATTACACTCGGGACAGTAATCCATCGAGCTTTGCGCTGACTCTGTCATAATGACAATACGTCCCAACTGAATTTCAGTTAGTTAATTATGGAAGGACGTAATCCTGATATGGGAGCCGTAGAAATTCTCAATGGACTTAGGAGCTGATAATTTAGGTGTGAGGTGCACGACAAAGGTCCTATATAATGCATATTATCGGTAGTCAGCCTATGAATTTTTTATTTTATTGGATGCTTCTTATTATGACCTGCTTACTTCTTCATAGCAGAAAATACATTAGGAGCTTTTATTCTTAGTTAAGGCTCTAAAAAACTTTTCTTATTGTTTCGGAAAATTTGTCCACTTAGATGTCTAGGGAAGTAGAAGAGAGAAGTAAGAAAAAAAACTGGAAAATTTTTCTGGTTTATATTTTCTAGGGATTTTTTTGTTTTAAACAAAATATTCAACTTATTCTAGGAAACTTTGTTTTTTTTTCTTACCGGTAGTCTAGGGTAGTTTTGAAGCATCTCTTTGGTGAAAAGAATTACCCAGGACTTGTTATTTTATTATTATTATTATCATCATCAATGTTTAATACACCTAACGCGTCGAGTTATTGAAAGTCAAGATGAATGTTGTCACATCAGCTTTACCATCGTAGAGAGTGACTATCAATATTTTACACCGTGTCTTGATTTCATTTTGGTTACGTCAAACTCATAAGCGATGCAAATTTGTCTACGTTCGATCAATACCAAATTTACTTCATGATTGTGATCAACTTTAAATATATTTTTTCAATACTTTACTAAAACGGTATTGGGAAGAAGTTAATTGAAAGACATCAAATGAATTGGTACAAAAAATTCAACTAATAAGAATAAAAATGATGAATAAATGTTGAAAGTACATAAAAGTGTTGTCATATAATCGCTTTAAACAAGATGCCTTTGAACGACATTTTCGTTCTTTAATCTTCTTGAAAGCAAGAAGAATTTTTTATTTGATTTATAAATAAAACTTTTTCATTCAAATTAAAGATGTAATTAAAAGTTCACGACGATATGATGTAGCTACCAATAATTGACATTCAATATAAATCAATATATATATATTTGAAGTTTGTCTGGTTGTCAGTAAGTAAATAAGATACATCGAGACCAATTAAATTAAAATATTTTTAATTTAATGGAATTTTTAATTTAAACAATGGAATTACTTTTAAACATTTATTCATTTTAGTGTAATTATTATTTGATGAAATATTTCAAGTAAAACTGGAATTATGATTGGAGTAATAAAAATAGTTATAAGTCATGGTTATAATCCAGCTTCGGATAAACACTACCTCCCATTTGACTCAATCCAAAGGGATATAGAGAAAACGCGCAATGGATATAAAATAAAAGAAGTTACTCACATTTTATGGCATCTCCCAACGGACTTTCGTCGTCGTGACTCTCCGCGGGAATTCTAGACACAGTAGTAGTTTTACCAACTAAACTATCGAATGAGCTTTTCTCGTCGTGCTTATTCGTCATCCCTAACTTCTCATGTCATGACGTTTCAACGGGTAAAAATTTTTATGAAAGCTTTGCTACCATCAATAACTTAGTGTTATTTCACATTATCTCTAATTTAGACAGTTATTATGTATATTTCCAATGTAATTTGTCATAATTCATTTGCTTAATTCGACCAGTGCTATTCTGTTGGCAGTTTCGGAGAAGGGAAAATAACTTTGTATACAAAATTAGTTGATCAATTCAAATTTTTTTGTGGAAAAAATCATATTCAAGTTTGATATTAATATCCTGTGGTTAATTGGTCAAATAGATTGAATTTTACCATAGAAAGCTTTTCAGAATTTTTTAGTATATTTTTAGTAACAAATTAATAAAAATAAATATTTTGTTTATTTTATAATTTTATGGAATTTAAATGAAGTTGGAATAATTTTATAAATTAAAAAGAAAAAAATCAAATCAGATTATTGGATTTCTTTATCTAAAAAAGAATCAGTTGGTTGTATTTTTTTTCACACAATCTTATCAAAGGGATTGTACGTGGTTATCATCTACCCCTTGACAAAAAACTAATGAGACCTACATTGTGTTAAAAGCTAACTTGGAATTTTGTCAACAAGTTGAATCAGTCGACTAAAAAAATGACTCAGACCTCAGAGTTGTAATTCACAAAAATCAACAGAAGCTACTATGAAGTATTTGGGAAATAGTTGCAAACTTCTAAAGTTTCTTTTTTTGCTAATCAATTTCCTTAGAACTTCAACTTGTTGGGTGCATACTAATTAAGGTTGTGCTATTTAGGAATTTAAAAAAAAATCAACATAAATTACTGTTTGCTTTTTTTTCTTTAAAAATCAGATTCTATCTAAAAAAATTAATTGTCATTGATAGACTTGAGATTTTATTAAGCTTTAAAACTCAAATGAAATTTTAAATGAACTTTTCTATATTAAAATAATTGTTATTAATAAAACGTAAGTTGCTAATTTGTGTTCACTAGATTAGCATATTCCTTTAGTTAGTTTTATTAGTTAATATTTTAACTACACTCTATTTTATTTAACGAATAATTTACAAGTATTCTGAGTTCCAGAATATTATTAAACTTTGACAAGCTATGTATTTCAATATTTTATTCCGTCATATCATGAAGAAGTCATTCGTTTAAATTTTATACCATGGCTTTAGAATATATTACAAAAAAAAAATAGCAAACTTTGTTCTTCATTTCAACATTTAACTATATTCTATGAAACTGTACGATTTCCAGCCGAATCGTATTAATATTATAAAAGCTCTTAGTCGCAGAGACGTAATTTATGAAGGTCCGGAGTGCAGTTTGCTGTTTTGCCGAGTTCGATTTTCATCAAGTATATACTTGGTGTGTTGTGCACAGGTCGTTGGTGATAGTATAGAAATCTAGGGGAAAAGTACTTATAATTTACGAAACTTGGAGAAATTCCATGACTCCATGTATGTTTTCATTCAGTATTGTAGCTGACATAAAAATTAAATCGTGGAAAATTACTCGAATGCTTGTAGTAAAATTTTAGTAGAGTTCACTTATGACCTTTGCACAGAATTATTGATTGAACCTAAGTTATCCATCTGGGTAACTCATAAAAATTATATATTGGAGAGTTTTTAAATAT